AACTTGGTTTTACAGGCCAAAATTTAGTGTCTGCTAGCCATGTTGGCCAGGTGCAATGTATGGGGTTTGTTTTTGTATAGCTCTGGCTGGCCTAGAACTTGGCTATGTGGTCAGATTGGCCTTGAGCTCACAGAGACCCACCTTGAATGCTGGGATCGGAGGCATATGCCACTATGCCTATTGCAATTCTTGGAGCACTGGGATTCTTCTAAGAACTACCCCACCACATAGCCTATGAGGACTGAGTAAGGCTATTGCCTCTTAGTAGGTGAAAATTCCAGATAATGAGGCTGGGGAGCTGGCTCACAAGTATTGTTATTTGTCAGCACCCAAGTTTAGTTTACAACTAACTTCAGTTCCAGGAACTCCATCCATCAACACCATGCACATACATGGTGCACAGTACATATAGTAAGGCAAAACATACATAAACATTTTTAAAAAACGTAGATACTAAACAGTTTGAAATCCAGGATCACTGACAGGAATCTTGGTTTTGTTGTAACCTAGGTGGAAAAGATTCTAGGTCTGTGCACCAGAGGGCAGTATATACTTTCTGTTAATGTGCTTAGGTTATTTGAACCAGTTTCATCATTAAAGGAGGGAAAAGGATGAAGAGATAGTTCAAATGTTAGGAGTACATGGTGCTCTTTCGGGAGTTAGGTTCCTAGTACACAACTGCCTAAAACTCCAGCTCTAGAGGATTTGACACCAAAAAGCTTCAAAAACGGAGGGTGATGGTAAGATGGCTTATGGGTATAGACCTAAGAACCTATGTTGGAAGGAAAGACCAACTTCCACAAGTTGTGTTTCAACCACAAGTATGCCATACACATTTAAAATTGTTTTAGGAGAAGGTAGTAAAAATATCCAAGTCAAAAAAGTTCAAGTGCTGAGTATGGTAGCCCAAGCCTATGTATTCCCAACTCTCAGGAGTGTGACACCAGCCTGGGTTCCATAGTAAGACCCTTTCTCCAAAAGAAATGAAAAATAAGTGAAAAACTTGGTTTTACCTTCTACTTTTACTGTAAAGGAAACAGTGAAAACCAAGAGTTTCAACCTGGGAAAGGAACCTGAGGTTCCTACTGAGATTGAACTGCTACCTGGGGAGGAGGCCATCAGATCTGTCTCGACCTGCAGAGATTCAGGGACGTGGATAACAAGTAAATCAAAGGATTGTATGAAGAAAATATTTTCAGACCAAGTTTAATATACCTGATCTAAGAAATCTCAAGCCCTGTATTTAAAGTTTCTGTATAAGAGAAGCAGGCATTCTGTAAGAAGACAACTTCAAGTATCCTGTTTGGGGAGTATGTGGGTCTTTTATACAGGATCTCGCTCCTAACCTTGACGGGCCTCCAACTTATTAAGTCTATCTCAGTATTAATAAATATTGGGATTATATACTTCCTGCTGATTCTGGGTGGGTTTCTCGAGGATTTGGATTTTTTTTTTTAAGATGTATGTTGCTGGGCGCAATGTCACATGTCTATAATCTCAGCACTCTGGGAAGCAGAGGCAGGCCAGCCTGTTCTACAAGGCAAGTTCAGGACAACCAAGGCTACACAAAGAAACCCTGTCTCAGGAAGGAAATAAAATATTTAGTTCTGCATTGGAATAATTCATTCTCATACCATCTCTGGCACCAGGTTCCTTAACTGGAGACTGCTGATATAACCAGGAATCGTGTATATTTTGTGGGGAAAGTCAAAACATACACGGTTGGTAAGATACAGCCATACTTTGAGTTTTACCACAAACTGACTTCTCAATCAGAGGTGAACACTAGTGCATACATATATGTGTTTGGTTAAGTTATCTAGGAGATTGCCTAGGCCAGCTTCAAATTGTTCTCTTGTCTCAGCCTCCTGAATTCTGAGATTATAGGCATGTACCACCATGCCTATGTAGTATATATTCCCCCCTTTTTTAAGTTTTTCGAGACAGGGTTTCTCTTTGTAGCCTTGGCTCTCCTGACCTCACCTAGTAGACCAGGCTGGCCTTGAACTCACAGTGACCTGCCTCCCTGAGTGCTGGGATTAAAGGCCTGTGCCACCGGGTCCAGCTATTTTATCTTCTATAGGACAGTTGGGAGCACAGAAAACTGAAAGTTGCTAAGTATGCTGAGCTAATACTAGTCTGAAAAACAACAAAAAACCCTGACAATTTTACCTCTACATTTGGATCTCTGTAACATGGGCTCAGTGTTAGGACAAGGACCATGGGTAGGGTGTACAGTACAGGTTAGCTCAGCTGACCTGGGTCACTCAGACACTGTTCATGCAAAAAAAAAAAAAAAAAATGCTCTAGTCCTTAACCTGCTGGAGATAACTGAGTCCTTGGAATCTCTTGCTGGCAAATGAATCTGAGCATAAGCACCGTATCAATTATCAATTTGCCTTCTGGGGAAGAAGACTACCTTGTGTAGGTGCTTTCTACCTACTGGCTCCCAACTCTACAACTCCAAGGTGTGGGCTAATCAACCCTGGTAAGTTGTTATCCCCAGATGCTGAGAATTGTGTTGTTTCCTGTGTGATTCCACTGGTTGTGGTATGTATATAACAAAAACTGGAAGGAGTGCTCAATTCAGTGGCAAATATTTGCCGAGCACCTCCTAACACACCAATAACTAGTAGATCCTGGATGAAGTGCAAAAGTAACATAGTGGCTTCATTTCATGTATATACATTTGTGTATCTGTATGGCTGTGTATGGGAACAAAAGTGCCCATAGAGCCCAATAACAATGTTTTTCCCTGGAACTGGTGTTACAGCTGCGAGAAGCCCAATACTTCCTGAGAATGGACCTTACTAAGCTATTCCTCCAAGTGCTCATGAGCATTCTCATCATTTAAGTGTGGAGGCAATTGTTGAGCTAATAAACTACAAATCAAGCCGGGTGCAGTGGCGGATGCCTGTAATCTCAGCACTCGGGGAGGCAGAGGCAAGTGGATCACTGAGTTCAAGACCAGCCTGGTCTACAAATTGAGTCCAGGACACCCAGGCCTACACAGAGAAACCCTCTCTTGAAAAATAAACTACAGATCAAAAAACAAGTGCAGGCGAGCCTCCTACTAGTTCTAGCTGCACAAAAATCCCACCTCCATACCTGAAGACTTACAGCTGAGCCCTGCTCAGCCATGTAAGGAAACAGGTAGATATGTCATGTGATTAACCTACAGGGAGCTGTGTATTATGAAAGACTGAATTTTGTGTGATAGTGCAAACTGTATTCCCAACACTGAAGCAGAGACAGCCTTTGTCCATGCCATCAAGGAAAGGAGCAGCACACACATTTAAACATCAATCACAGCTGGATATGGTGGCATGCAGTGAATGCCAGGGCATAGGAGGAGCTCTTAAGTTTGAGATCAGCCTGGTCTAGAGTGAGTTCCAGGACAGTCTGGACTACGTAGACAGAACCTGAGTCATTACAATAGATAAAAAATTAAGCTCAGCAGTGGTGGTATATGCTTTTAATCCCAGCTCTAGAGCTAGTTCCAGGACAGCCAGGAACAGAGAAACCCTGCCTTAAAAAAAAAAAAAAAAAAAAAAAAAAACAGCAGGGAGTGTTGGTATCTTTAATCCCAGCACTTGGAGTTAGAGGCCAACCTGGTCTACAAAGAAAGCTAATCCAGGACAGCCAGGGCTCTTGTTATACAGAGAAACCCTGTCTCAAAAAACAAAAAATTGGTTGAACCACTAAATTGTCCCCTTAACCTTCACTGTGGCATGTGGCTGTGGCATGCATATGAATTCATGGACACAAAGCAAGGTGTTGCCACACAACTGTACTGGACCCCTAGCACCAAGGTTGGCAGACAGTAAATTGGGGGTTGCTGCCTTCCAAGCACCTCCAGGTTCAATTGGACTGTTTTAAGAAGGAATATAGATACAGAAAAACTGTCTTGAAAAGCCACAAACTTAAGACTTCCTGTGAATAAGTCATTTGGGTGGCCCTGCTGGCCTCGTGTGTCTTGGCACTGAGAAAAGAACCCTGAACTGAGGCAGGCTCTTTAATAGTGGTGAGGGAGATAAAGAGTGCCAAGAGTTCCAACAGGATCCCCTAAAATCTGGGTTGAAAACAGTTTAAGTAGGACTGGGGTGGACAGTATCAGTCCCAGAAGGCCAGCTTCAGCTCAGGCAGTCCTTAGGCCTGAGCAGGGACGAAATTTCAGCAACAATGGTATGGGTAGTTTTTCCATGTGAGCCTCAAGTTCTCCACATATATAGTGGAGCTAATAGGGTGACAAATGGCCACTCAGTACATCAGCATACTGTATACTTTCCTCACACTCAGCATGCCTATATACCGGCCTCACACAGTTATTTTTAAGACGGGGTCCTGGGTATCCTGAGAGATGCTATGTAGACTAGCCTTAAATATTCCTGCCTCAGCGTAAGAACGCTGAGATTACAAGTATAAATGAGATTTGGTAAAAACTATTTTGTTGACATTTCCCAGGATCAACAACACTCTTAATATTGCAGCAGCAGGAAGCCCCAGCTGACACTCAGCCAAAATGGAATATATAGGATTGTCAGTTTCACAGGTCAAATAAAAGAAAAAACAAAACAAAACAAAAAACCACTTGCCTCACTCTTTGTATTAACACACTTTATTCTGAAAAGAGGCACGTCAACTCAAGAACAAGGAGTCTAGGTCATCAGAGGACTGAGGGCTGGTTAAGATTCTCAAGCTTAGGCAGAGGGGCTCAGGATTTCTGACACTGTCAGCTGGTAAGAAGCCTATAAACATTTACCCTCCCTCTAAGGGAAAGAAAAGTCCTCTACAACCCTCTTCACTGCCCTGCGTCACTCCTTTGGTACCCAGATGGCTCCATAAACACCTTTTCAGCCTGCTTCCTTCCAGGCTCAAGACAGTGTTTTTAGATACTTACAAAGAAAACATTTAGACTGAGGTGAACTATCACCCTATGCTCCACTCCCCACCTATCACCACCACCAAAGAGCTACAAAAAAGGAGGCCCAATCAATGGAGATGGTTGAAAAAGTCAGTGGACTCTTTATTGTTTTGGGGGTGTGCTCAGGAGCTCTTGGTGGGGCGGGTCCGTTTCCTCTTCACCACCACAGGCTTCTGGCTTCGCAGGATAGCACTGGCCCTGCGGATGGCAGCCTGAGGAAAGGATAGGGAACTTAGCTCACCAACTCAAAGACCCTGCAACTTACTGCTGCCTGCTACCTAGGCATACAGAGAGGCTGCCTAAGGCTGGGGAATCAAAGGATTCTCCAGTCTAGCCCCAGCTAAGCAGCGTCAAATAGCCAGGCCTGTATCCAGTGCCTCAGGTGAAGTGTCCTCCTTCACCTGCTGCCCTCCAGCTCTAAGGATCCACCCCTTACTCACCATTCTCAGATCAGGGCGGTACTTGTTCTTTCGGATCATGTGCCTGATGCTACTGAGAGTAGCCCGAGCATTCTTGTTGATGGTGGTTCTCACATAAGAAGTGGCAGGTTTTCGCTGACCTAGTAAGAGGAGCCTAGGAATCAGTTCACCTGTGTGGGGCCTTCAGAGCATCTGCCAGATGGGAACACACAGCCTCACCCACCAAGAGCTTTCTCACCCTTTTCCAACTGTCTTTCCACCTACCCATTCAGCCCACTCACTGGGTGACCACCATAGGTCAGTCTCAACCAAAGCCTGTGAAAAACCCATTCCTCTATTTTAAAATCCCAGCTATAGCAGCACAACCCTTTAATCACAGCAATCAGTAGGTAGAGGCAGGTGGGTATCTGAGCTCCAGAACAAGTGATCTATACAGAGAAACAGTCTTTAAAAGGAAAAGCAATTTAGTCCGAAAAGAGACATAATTCTACATAGAGTGCCTTCAGCGAAGCATCCCTAAGTTTCTCTACTTCTAACTTTAAATAATCATCTTACATGGCTGGCAGCACAGAAGGGCAGAAGCTTCCCTGGCTAACCCTTGACACCAGGGATGCTCTGGGCCCTAGTAAGGAGGCCTGTTTGCAAAGGCTCACCGGATCTGCGTTTCATGACCACCACGACCCCTTTGCCATCGGCCGCGGGCTCCACTCCCACAGTCTTGCGATGAATCAACCCATTGTAGCGGAAGGAGTTGCGGGCCTTCAGATTATTGGGCTCCTGGGGAGGTGGCAGAAGATGGCAAATTACGGCACGATTTGCGAATGTCCCAGAACTCAGGAGCCAGAGTGCCCCACCCACGGGCCCCACTTACGGTGCTGTATGTCTGCTTGTTCCGCTTGATCAGGAAACTGGAGCAGTTCCGAACGACCATCCATTGCAAATGGGCGGACATGTCGACGGCTGCACAGAAAGGGTGAAAAGATGTCAAGCAGAGAAGCAAGCCATGGCTAGGCGCCTAAGTAAATGGGAGCACCGACAGAAGACAACGAGCAAGAGTTCTGCCAGGCCGGAATGAGTGACGAAAGGAGGCAGGCCGAACTAAAGCGGACACGACGGAGAGGTGGGGGCAGGAAAACTAAGGCTCCACTTCCTGCGGCGGAGACGAGGGCTACAAATGGCGCTTGGGCACAAGGAGAAAAAAATAGGCTGGGAGGTGGAGGCGGCGGGCGCGTGATGGCGGCCACGCGGGACGGACACAGGACTCGCACTCACCTCCTCACTCTATGGCGGCCGGAGACGGAAAAGGAGACGCTAGAGGCGGGACGTCGCCTTTAAAATGGCAACGCATTTCCGCTTCCTCCCTGGGCCCTCCTGAAGTCGGCCACCCAGCTTCTTCCCGTTCTTGGTTTCCGCCTCCGAGTCGTTTTGATTGTGGTGTCGCATGCCGTTCGGGAACCTTCGGAAACTTCGTTTGGCGATCAGGAGGCGAGTTCTCGCGGTAGAACGATGAGACACCGTGGGCGCTTGGGAAGTTTTCGGAGCTCCGTGACTGGCTTTTCGAGTGTTTCCAAAAGCAGAGGCCCCGAGACCTACTCTCAGCCGCATCACTCTGATCTGTTCAGTTAGCATTGGGCACACAGCGGGCACTAAATAAACATTTTGGAAAAAGGGTACTGCTCCCGTGTCTAGTTGATTTCGAACTCGGATCCTCCCGCCTTAGCTTTGTGGATGCAAATACTGGCGATTCCAGAGCTGCATCATTACCCCAGGCTTAAACACTTATTTTTGTTTAGTTATTCTTATTTTCTATGCGTTGGTGTTTTGCCTGAATATATGTCTGTGAGGGTGTTGGGTCCCCTGGAACTAAAGTTTCAGACAGTTGTGAGCTGCCAGTGGGTACTGGGCATTGAACCTGGGTCCTCTGGAAGAGCAGCCAGTACTCTTAACCACTGAGACACCTCTCCAGCCCAAATTTATTTACTTTTCATTATGATGTACAGGGGTTCTGTGTTCACCTGTGGAATAATAAACTGATCTCCTGGAACTAGAGTTACAGGCAGTTGTGAGGTGCCACAAGGGAGCTGGGAACCAAACCCAGGTCCTCTGCAAGAACAGCAAGTGCTCTTAACCACTGAGCCATCACTCCTGTCCTCAAGACTTGTTCTTTAAATGGATGCATGAACTATTTTAAGCTTTGCTATGGCATGGAGTCTTTGGATGGTTCCATTATTTTTTGTAATCACTCAACTATCTTCCCCCACTAACCAATGGACCATTTTCAGACTGCTCTAAAATTGCACGGCTCCATCTTCTCTCATTCCTGGTTCGGTCTATGCAGAATTACTCCATATCTGTCCTCTTCAATATCTGACTGTCCCGACTCACTTTGTAGACCAGGCTGGCCTCAAACTCATAGACATAAGCCTGCCTCTGCCTTCCAGAGTGCTATGATTACAGACAGGCATGTGCCACCACACCCAGCCACATTCTTTTTTTTTATTTTATTTTTATTTTTTACATTAATTACATTTTATTCACTTTGTATCCCTGTTGTAGCCCCCTTCCCCCTCATTCCTTCCCAATCCTATCCTCCCTCCCTCATCTCCTCCCATGCCCCTCTCTAAGTCCACTGATAGGGGAGGTCTTCCTCCCCTTCCATCTGGCTACAGTCTTTCTTAATAAAAGAAAGGGACAGTGTTTTCAAGATAGGGTTTCCCTGTCTAGTCCTGGCTGTCCTGGAACTCGCTCTGTAGACCAGCTTTATAAACTATTAGCATTTGTTAATTAGGCATAAAGTGGGTTGATATGACATTTTCATGTTATATAATGTATTTTGGTCATACAGTCCCTTATCCCACTGCAGTTAATCTGTGTGTCTCTGTGTGTATGTGTGTATGGCTACATCCTCCGTCATCCTGAGCTTTCTTCAACTCTGAAACCTTAACAGAGCCGTCTTGAAGTTTCCCATCGCAGGGGAGCATGAATTTGTCTATGGGCAGATGCGTGGAAGATCTGGGCTTTCCTGGAACAGCTGTTGGTTCCCTTTAAGCCTTCCACATGGGTTGCCCCAACCCTTTCCCATGCCACCTCCCATCTCCAGAGTGCCCTGGCCATACCCTCTAAATTCTCTTGAAGTCAAAGCCTTTTTCGGGGATCAGCTTCCACAGAAGAGAAAGATCTTTTTCTAGAAGCATCTATCAACCAAAAAAAACCATGGTGGGGTAAAGTTTAGTATTTTGGGTTTTGTTGTTTGTTTTGAGACAGTTTTCTCAGACAGCCCTGGCTGTCCTGGAACTAACTTTGTAGACCAGGCTGGCCTTGAACCCCCTGCCTCCTGAGTGCTGAGACCAAAAGCGTGCTTCACTCCAGTCCAGCTCTAGCTGTGCCCCAGAGAATGTTTTTGTTTTGTGCAGAGGACATGGAATCAAGGCCTCGCCCATGATAAGCAAACACTCTACCAAATGAACATCCCCAGCCTGTCCAGTATTGTTTCTGATCCATTTGGGTAGGCCTCGAGAGGCGGGCACTAAATAGAAACAACATCAAGCTAACTATTATGCCATCCTCAAGTTTGGCCATAGTCACCTGGCTCTCCTTAATGGAGAGGGTCATGCGCTACTGCTCCCTTCCAGATCTCTAGAGCCTCACAGAGCCTCACAGAGCCTCACGCGGGCACCAGATCTAGGCTGTGAGCTCCAGTCCAGCTCAGGTGACCATGCAAGAACTGGGCACACCTGGCGCTGCGCCCTAACCCCGCCCCGGGCAGCCGCACCCCGGACGCTCTCGGGGAGCAGGCGGCGGCGGGCCACCGAGGGCCATGGCGGCGGCGGCACCGGTGTGCGGCTCGCAGGCGTCCTCGGCCGGCGCCGCGCCCGCGCCCGCGCCCGCTCCTGCTCCATCGGCCGGCCTGGGCCGCTGCCGCATGGCGCTGCTGCTGGCGGTAGCCTTGGACGTGGCGGGCATGGCGGCGCTGCTGACCGGCGTGTTCGCGCAGCTGCAGGTGCGCGGCCGCGACTTCGGGGACCTGCTCATCTATTCGGGGGCGCTGCTGGTCTTCTTGAGTTTGCTGGGCTGGATCCTCTGGTACACCGGCAACATCGAGATCTCGCGCCAGGAGCTCGAGCGCGACTATGGCCTGCGGCCCTCGGCGATCGCCCGCCTCGCACGCAAGCTGTCCCGCCGCTGGTCGGCGCCCGCCACCGCCAGTCCCCGGGGGACACCGGGTCTCCGCGCTGCGCACAGAGCGGCCCGCGCGCCCCAGCCGGCCGCCTCCGGCTCCCGCCGCGTGCGTCTGCAGCTCGCCACGCTTGAGGCGGGGCCCGGAACGGCGGGCGCGGGCAGCGAGTGAGCCTCAGGTGAGGACACCTGGGAAGAGTGAGAGATGGTGGGGAGACAGGCACGTCGCGGAAAGGGGAGACCGGGGTGGAGTGAGTCAGAGATAGCAGAAACACTGAAAGATGGGTGGGACAAGGCTAGGCGTCCCGGCACACCCTCCTTCCTTTGCTCCACGTGCAACGGGCCTCATCGCATCCTCTCTCTGTACCCAGTTCTCTGAGATCATTACTGTTACTGTACAAGAAACCCCGAAAGTAGGTGCCACTCTTGCCCGGGCGACCCAATGTGAAATCGGAAGAGCTCCATTTGTACACACCGGTAGTCCTAATAAGTCAGAGGCGAAGAACCAGTGGGCACAGAGGGAGGGAAACCACCCTTGTTTTTTTTTTTCCCCTTTCTCTGTTGTTTGAGACAAGGTCTCACTGTGTAGCTCGGGCTGGCTTGAAACTTGGGACACACACCAGGCTGTTGTTGAACTCACAGAGATCTGCCAGACTGCCTCCTGAGTGCTGGGATTAAAGGCATGTGCCACCATACCTGTCCCTTTGTGTGTGTGTGTGTGTGTGTGTGTGTGTGTGTGTGTGAGAGAGAGAGAGAGAGAGAGAGAGAGAGAGAGAGAGAGAATGCCGTGTGTGTCAGCTGTTGGCAGAGGCTGTAGGAAGAAGGGTGTCAGATTCCCAGTAGCTGGAGTTACAGCAGTTTTTTGAACCCTTGCATGGGTGTTGGGAACTGAACTTGGGCCCTCCGAAAGAGCAGAAAAAGTACTCTTAACTATGCATCTCTCTAAGCCCCCAAATTTTATTTTTTAATTACATTTACTTGTGTATATGTGGGTGTGGGTGTGTGTGGACTTTTGTGGCATCTATTCTCTTTCTACCATGTGGGCCCCAGGCTGGAACTCAGGTCATCAGGCTTGGTGGCGAGCACCTTTGACTGAATGAGCCATCTTGCTTTACCTCTGTATTCTCCTTCTTAAACGCACTTCTCTTTTCTGCCACTACTCAAAGACCTGCTAGGGTTCTCTGTTGCCCTCTCATTAAACCCAGGCCACTTGCTGATTTGTGGAACCTCTGCTTTTTAGTAACCCTTTCTTCCACAATTTATGTGCATTTTTCTCTCTCAGACCATAGACAGACAGACATTCTCCATAACCAGGAGATAGTTTGGGCAGGTAGGTCGATATATGAATAAATGGATGGGTTTGTGGATGGATGGGAATGATTGAATTCGTTTCCTAGGTGGCATTTTTGTAAAAGAATTAAATCCTAAAAACCTTATGTGTGTCTGTGTGTATGTGCACGCGCATGGGCATGCCTGCCAGTGAGTCCCATGGTGCATCTGTTAAGGTCAGAAGACAACTTTCCTGAATGGGTTCTGTCCTTCCACCAGGGAACATAGGTTGTCAGGATTACATGGCAAGCGCTTTTACCCACTGAGCCAACTCACTGGCCTGAGACAGTCTTAAGTCTCTTCTGAGCACCCGTAGTAATACTAATTCTATTCTGTGCTTTGTGAGTACTAAGAACTGGAGTCTATGTTCTATGGTTCGAGTGAGGAAACTGATTTAAGAATGAACAACTGGGACAGTGTGTGGCTTAGTTGTAGAGAGCTTCTCTAGCATGCCTGAAGCCCTGGGTTCAATTCCCAGCACCACATAAAAGCAGACATTGTTGGGGCTGGAGAGATGGCTCAGTGGTTAAGAGCACTGTCTGCTCTGCCAAAGCACCCAGGTTCAATTCCCAGGACCTACATGGCAGCTCACAACTGTCTACAACTCAGTTGTAGACAGTTCCAGACAATCCTAGTTCCAGGGATTCTTAGTCTTCATACCAATGTACAGGAAATAAGATAAAATAAAAAAAAATATATTAGTAGACATTGTTAGGCCAGGTGTGGTAGTTCATGCCTTTAATCTGACCACTCAGGAGGCAGAGGCAGGAGGGTCTCTGTGAGTTCGAGGCCAGCCTGGTCTACAAAGAGAATTCCAGGACAGCCAGGGCTACACAAAGAAACCCTGCCTCAAAACGAAACAAAACAAAAAGTAGATATTGTTGGTTATCTAACCCCTATAATACCAGAACTCAGATGGATCACAGCAAGTTCAAAACCAGCCTAATGTATGTAGTGTGTTCCAGCCAGGGCCGCAAAGTGAGACTCTGTTTCAAAACAGCAAAACGGGCTGGAGAGATGGTTCAGAGGTGAGAGGACCAACTGCTCTTGCAGAGGACCTGAATTCCATTCCTAGAACCCATATGTCAGCTCACAAGTAAGTGTCTATAACTCCAAGAGATCCAATGCCCTCTTCTGGCATCTAAAGGCACCAGGCACACATGCGGTGCACAGATATACAAGGAGGCAAAACATTTATACACATAAAAGAAAAAATATTAAAAAGAAAACTACAGACAGTATTTAAAGACTGACAACTATTTATATGTGAAACATGAACAAATGCTGGATTACAACATTTGACATATGCCAAAATAACCATCTGTAGTGGAAATGGCTCTTGAAGATCCTTAATACTACTCCGAAGCATACATTTCAGTGGGCTTCAAAAAACTTGAACTTTGACACATAGGTACGCTATAGTAATGACAAATTACGTTGGGACCAAAATCCACACATGGGTAAATCTTTTTCTCCTCCTCCTTTCACCTAACATGGTCTCATTATATAACATAAGCTGGCCTGGAGTGTCTTATATATACTAGGCTAGACTTTAGTATGTGGTACTCTCCTGCGTTTTAAATGCTGGAGTTACAAGCATGTAACAAGCTAGGTTATGTCTGGCTTGGTTCTTTTTGGTTTGGTTTTCATTTTATTTCATTTTGCTTTTAATCACATTTATTGTGGGTGTGTGTGCTCTGGGGTGTGTATAGATGTCAGAGGGTAACCAGTGAGAGTGGGCTCTCCCCTCTCCCCATAAACTTGGGTTTTCAGGCTCTGTAAGCTGGCAACTTTACCTGTTGAGCTATCTCTCCAAGCCCATGGTTTGATTTTTTTTGAAACAGGATATCACACTCTGTAGCCCTGGCTGGGCTCAAACTATACATTCCAGACTGGCCTTGAAGATCCTCTTTGCCGGGGCTGGAGAGATGGCTCAGAGGTTAAGAGCACTGGCTGTTCTTCCAACGATCAAGAGTTCAATTCCCAGCAACCACTGGTGGCTCATGACCATCTCTAATGAGATCTGGTGCTCTCTTCTGGCTCACACGCAGGCAGAATAGTGTATAAATAATAAATAAATCTTTTTAAAAAAAATCCTCTTTTCCAGGTGTTGGGATACCCCCAGCTGTTTCTCCCTTTATCCTTGCCTGTTTTCTCCATCTCTGTTTATCTCCCTATCTTTGTGACTTCCCAGGTCTGTCTCTTTGCCTCTGTCTCTATGCCTTCTCTGTCACAAATGCACCTATTGTCAGTGGATTCTGGGGAGTTAGAAGCACATGAATTTGTGCCCACACACCCTAGGGGCTCTGCAGCAAGCAGAGGGAGGTCCAGGAGAGCTTGAGTGTGAGGAAGTCCAGTGAGCTTCCTCAGTGAGGAAGGGGCTCCCTGGCTTTTCATGGGACAGGATGAAATGAAAGGACAGAAGAGGAACAATCCTAAGTAGCCACTAACCCTACCTTTTCTTCCCACAGACACCCTCATCCTCAACTTGACGAGATGTGCCGCTGCCCTGTTCATCACTTAGCCCCAGGATACCCAACTGTCCCCTCACTTGGATAAATGTTTCAGTTTTGGAGCACTGCTTGCCTGTCTGGTTAAAGGCCCAAACTGGCAAAGGGGAGTGATGATGCAGGAAAATGCCAGGCCAAGCCACCTTTGTTCTTGGTGCCCTGGGGGTAGAGGATTCCAGCTCTTCACTGGCCTTTCACTAGGGGCACCTGGAAGGTAAAAAGAAGGATCGTGAGTGCAGACCCATCTACCCATCCTAGACTTCGCTAGGGTAGTTTGGATCTTCCAAGAAGAGCAGATACAGGGTCACACTGAGTTTGCAAGATGTTTACTGTGCGGGGAGGTCCTTACAGAGCGTGGCATGGATACAGGATGCCAGCAAGACTAGAAGGGAGAGCTAATTGGGCAGGTTGAATCTGTGTGAATACAACACGCTTCCAAAAAAAGGCTTGGCCACCAGGGATTCTGGGAGCTGAAGTCCTAGCTGGGCGATGGCCACACTCTTCTATACCTAGTCAGGCATTAGTGCTAAGGGGCAAGAGATATGTGAGAGCAGGGGCCCATCAGTCACCGACACTCCCTGAAGCAGCAGGACTTCCCCTGTGATGTGTGTCCAATATGTGTTCCTAATACCTCCCCCCATTTGAAGCTCACTTCATTGTGGCTCCCCACAAGCTCCCACGCCCAGAACTCCCGCCAGTTCCTTCCACAATTCAGACCCACATGACTTATCCCCAGACCCCACTCATAATAGACCCCTCTACACTGAGCTCACGGCTCCAAATCATAACAACCCAGTGCTCCCATTCAGTCCTTACCCCCGCTCTTCCTCCGAGTGTACATGCACATTGTGCAAGGCTCCCACAAAGCCACCTGCTCCCCCACGGATCTCAAAAAAGACACACGTTTATATGCCATATGTGTATTAAGGGGTCCTCCAGGGTTGCCCCTAATCATCATCGCCTCCCTCTGTTTCCTCCCCGGCTTCCGTAGCTTCTGCCTCAGTGCCTCCTCCTCCTGAGGCTTCTGCTCCCTCGGTCACAGTCCCGGCACCCCCAGATGACTTCTTGCTGCCTGATGGTCGGTCCTTAGACAGTAGGGAGACTGTTCCAGACAGGCTGTATTTCCCCTGTAGAAATTTTGGTAGGTGCAGCATGTCTCGGCGCTTGGCCCACCTGGTGGAGAGAGCATATATTCAGCCTGAACCACCTGCACCTTCTGTGGAAAACCATACCTGCTGACCTCCCACACCACACTCACCAGAAGAGGCAGATACCAGCAATCAGGAAGAGCAGGCTGCCACAGGTCCAGCCCAGTGTCCACATGTGCTTCCTGCGCATGTTTTCTAGAAAAAGGGCAGGAGGAAGGTCCAGGGATCCAGCAGTTGGGCCCCTCACCCTCTGAAACATCCAGTTTTGGGCCAGATCACTCACCATCTGGCCGCTGATGGTAGCACACACCATCCCGGTAGCAGCATCGTAAGCGCAGGCACAGGTTGGGGTTCTCAATTGCTGCCTGACCCCCACAGCTCTCTCGGTCCCACACATCTCCCTCACAACCTAAGGCCACCAAAGTAGGCTCTAAGTAACAGAACTGGCCCTGAAGGCTCCAGACATGAGTGCCTAGGCCAGATTGAGGGGCTTGGGTGCTGTGTATTGGGCACTATTCTTTATCGGACCCGAGTCCAGACCCAGGCCATCTCTCTCAGACACAGGGCCTTACACCGGGGCCCTCTTCCCTCAGGCCTAGGGGTTAGCTTCCACTCCTCCTCCCTCAAACCTGGACACCCAGACACCAGCCCTCTTCCTTCAGAGGGTCCATTCCACAGCCTATCTCCCTCATGGCCCCAGCTCATCCTCCTCAAACCTCAGACCCAAGGTTCTAGGCCCCAACCCTCCTTCAGACCCCTGGGATCAAAGCTCCAACCCTCCTCCTCTAAAGTCAAAGTTTCCAGGCTCTCCGTCTCCTCCCTCAGACCCAGAGGTTGAGTTTCCGCACCTTCTGCCTCAGGTCCAGGGGGTCCAGGCCTTAGCCCCGCCTCTCCATACCTAAGGTTGAGTCCCCTGACCTCTTTCTTCAGATCTGAGAGGCCTAGGCCTTAGCTCTTCCTCCAGACCCAGGGACCAATCTCCAGCTCTCCTCCCTCAGACCAAGAGTCCAAGCTTTAGCCCTCCTTGAGACCCAGAGGTTTAATTCCTAGCCCTCCTTCCTCAGACCCAGGGGTCCACCCCCAAGCCCTTCTCCCTCAGACTCTGCAGTCTTAATTTGGGATGGCTCTTGCTTACTCCATGGATAGAAAAATCCCTGGATTCCATTCGCATCTGTGGGAGAAAAGGGGTGATGTTGGGAGATTGTGTGTCAGCCAAGATGGCCCTGTCCACAGTCCCCTGGTGTCCTTATCAGTACCCTCACCTACTGAGCCTTGCATCAGCAGGAGGAGGCCCAAAGCTAAGATCCCACACCCCACCATGTTACCTCCCCAGACCTCTGGGGCCTCTATGGAGAGAAACCTTGAAGGACATCACCCTAGCAACAACTGGGCCCCGCCCCAAAAGCCTCAGCCCCAGAATTCTTAGTTCTGTTGCCAGGGAATCCCCTCAGCAAAAAGTTCACAAGGAGGGGTGCCCCGGCTCCAACATTTCTGTCTAGGAAGTAGCTCCTTACTTAGGAGAAGAGATGTGTGGGCATTGGGAGAGTTCAGATTTAGAGCCTTCTCAGCAAGGGAAGAGGGAAAGAGAAACCAAGACAAAGCCTGAGGCAGGAGATGTCTCTCCTTATCCATCTGGGACCTGACAGGGTATGGATCTGGGACTGGGGAGATCGTTGAGCTGCAGAATCCCTTTCTTTCCTAACCCAACATCCAAAGAGAAGCAGCCTCAAGAGACCCAGGTTTAGAAATCCTCATTTGGTAGGGTATCTGTCCTTTTACCAGGAAAGGGGGCCCTAGGGACACTGAGGACTCACTGAGCCCCATTGTTAGAGAAGGTTTCCTCAGCAACCAAATCAGGAAGAGGAAAGGACAGTGGGGCCTGGTGGGGTAGCCTAGGGAGTCTCATCTCAGGCTCCACCGGGCCTCTGCTTTAGGGAACACATAACAGGGTGGGACTGACCTTGCCTGGCCCTGCAGAGCCTGAGATGCAGTCACTGTTAATGGCTGTGATGGTGACTTCTGCCAAGAGTTTCAGATCCCCAAGGAGACTCAGTTTCCCCATCGGTAAATGAGGGAACACAAACTAGAGCACCTCAAGTTGTTTCCCTTTGTGTTTGCTCTACCCAAGATTGCTGAGGGACCAGACTTCCAGAAAGCATCAGCAGAGCCCATGTCACTATGGTTCCTAGTTCACCTGGGCCCAATATCTATCCACTTGAATATGAGACGGGAACTCTCAAGTTCCTAGAGAATTGGCCCTGCACTCATGGGATGCCTGGGGCATGGAGGGCTGGGAGATTGGATCCAGGGAGCGAAGTGGTCTGGAGAGGGGAATTCTTGAATCTGCAAACTGTGACCCTTGAGCCTAGAGAAGCAGGAGAGCTGGGTGTAAAAGAAGCAGGGCTGTAGTCTGGACCCCTGCTTCTAAGTAGGAGAGGAGGACTATGGCCTGGTCTTGATCTGAGGGAGGAGAGTTGGGAAAAGGACCCCTGGGTCTTGAGTCTGGAGAGCTGGGTCCTGGGCTCTTAAGGTTTGGGTATGAACCCTGAGTCTAAGTAGGGGAGGAGACTAGATTCTAGACTCTAGGATCTGAAGAAGGAGGGCTCCCTAGGTCTGATAGAAGAGTGTTGGGGTCTGGACCCCTGATTCTGAGGAAGCCTAGGGCTTGAACTTCAGATCTGAGAGAAAAGGGCTGAGGCCTGGATTGTCTGTTCTGTGGGAGGGAGGGGTCTGAGTTCAGACCCTGTTTCCCAAGAATTCTACAAGGCTGACGACTCCCTTTCATCCCTGGGTCCTCAGTAAACATCCAAGAGGGTGCTGAGTGGGCCCTGGGCTGACTCCGTCAGAGATGACACAGGTCTGAGGGGGCTCAGCAGGGGGTATGGGGGTGGGGGTCAGAGGGGTTGTGGGGCTGAGGCTGGGCAGCTGCTGACCGTTTCCTGTGTCAACACCATCTGGACCCACTTCCCAATTCCCTGGATTCCTCAGGGATCAAGGAGGGGGTGGGGGTGGGGCTGCCTGGCGCTGGACCGCGGCTTGGGATTGGGGGGGGCACCGTCAAAGCCCTCACCGCTAATGACAGGTTTGGGCTGCCTCTGTGGCTGACCTGCCTCATCACCCCCCGAGAGGCCAGACAGGACCCCCCAGGGACAGACAGACGGACACACACAGCCTGGGATGTGCTGACATCACACCCAGCCAGCAACAGCTCATCCAGGGGCCAGCACACCATCAAGGCCCCCTGGCTAGACCCCCACATCCTAGGGACACCTCCTCAGATGCCTCTAAACACTCGGAGATCTTGAGTAGTCAAGCTGGTCTCCCTACTAGCTTTTGCATCTGTCTTCTTATCACTGTGAGGTCCTGTTTATATTTGTTTATCTCTGCTGTCTTTCGTCATTTTAGGGGGATTCCCAAAGTCTCCCAACCCATCTGTCTCACTTCCATAGAGCTGGTCTTCCAACCCTCACCCAGGAAAGACCAAGGCAGGAGTTCCCAAAGTCCACTCTTAAGTCTTTTTGTGGTCACCCTGGGGAAGATGAGTCTTTTCCCCACAACCCCCAGGGTGAAGAGTGAGGCAGGACTATGAACTAGCAACCAGCCCATGACCCAGACTCAAAAACTTCCTCAAACACAAAGGTCCCCTAATTGTAGGACATCAAAATTTTCTTCTACTTACATAAAAATGAGGGTTTAGTACCCTGGGTCTGAGGGAGGAGAGTTGGGATCTTGAGCCCTTGTTCTGAAAGAAGAGAGATAGGATCTGTACTTTGGTTATGATGGAAGAGGGTTGGGTACCTGAGACCCGGGCCTGAGGGAAGAGGACTGAGGTCTGTAGCTGGGTTTGAGGAACAGAGGGAGAGAGGGAGGTGGGAAGATGGTATGAGTTCTTGAATCTCAGTGGGGAAGGGGCTGGCATTTGCAGTCCTGGTATTGGTCCAGGCCTGGCTAGAAGCCCAGTCCCCAATCCCCTCAGGCCAGTCCATTCCCCAGGCTGGTGGCCTGAGTCACCTTGGCTAGCCCCCACGGTGGAGGGGGGCTACGTCAGCTCTCCCCTCACTGACGCAGCCTTGGGCCCCCCACGCTGACTCAGCCGGAAACAGGCCCCTTGAGGGGCGGAGACCCAGTGGTCAGAAGCCCAGGTCCCAGCAGGAGCAGGGGCTGAGGAGGGCCCCTGGAAGGGGTGGTGTGACAGACCAAGAAAGGGAGAGAAAGAGCTCTTACCTGAGCCGATGAGGTCATGTCCCACCATGGGGGCCCTGTGACCTCACCTCCTAGGGGATCTGAGCAGTTCTTCTCCCCTAGTGGTGGAAGGTGGGGAGGGGAAACCTCTGGCTGCCAGTCAGTCCAGAGCCAGTACACACACACACACACACACACACACACACACACACACACACACACTCATCTCCAGGCAATGCATTAGTTCCAAAGGACAGGCATAGGTGGTCTACAAAGAGATTTTTTTTTGAAGTTCATGTCACTGTCCTTTATTCAAAGCTCTCCCATTTCCTTCCTGAGGAGGAGGCTTCTTGAGATGTATGTGAGTTGATTTTGATGTCCCCATCCCTTGAGGGGTTATGAATTCTGAGCCAGAGATAGTCATCCATTGAACGTGGTGTGTGGGCATTGCTGCTGTTCTGCACTGGTGTGTTAGGCTCTTACCTGGATAGGCTATTATGTCCTCTTCTCAGGATGTGGCTGTCTAGTTTCTAGTGCCCACCCACCCCCTTTTGCCATCTCTCCCAGTGGCTGCCTGTGTGTCTGTATAGCGGGTAAACCGTGACTATGAGAGCAGCAGTGGGTCTCTAGCAGTAGTTTGTGCATTAGGGGTAGGAAGGTGTGTGTGTGTGTATGGGAGTGTATGTATGTGTGGGTGCATATTTGTACCTGTGTGCAAGTGCAAAGAGATCAGAGGGTGACATTGGCTATTCTGCTCTATGCCCCTGAGAAAGGGGTCTCCTGGAGCTAGGCTGGAAGACAGCAAGCCTCTGCCCACAGTGCTGCAGTTACTCGTGCTCAGCTTTTATTTATATAGGTGCTGGGGATTTAACTCAGATCCTCATGTGTGCAGCAAGCACTCTTAGCCACTGGGCTATCTCCATAGCCCTATGACATAGTCTTCTTAGCCCCATTTACAGATAAAGGAGGAATACAGCCAGAGACCCCTGTGGAGAGCCGCCTTCTCTCTCTTTTGGTCCTCATCTTATCTAACCCCTGTCTCTCAAGTGACCCCATCTTTGGTCACTCTGCATTGTAATTCTTCTGCATCCTGTATCTTCTTTCCAATGTCCATGTCTTTTTTTTTTCCCCTCTCTGGTTCTTTTTTTAAAATGGTGTTTCAAGTAGCCCAGGCTGGCATCACTATATAGCTAAGGATGACTCTGATCTCCTGAATCTCCTGATTTCACTTCCCAAGCACTGAGAGTGCAGGTGTGTGCCACCACACCCAGCGCTGGGGAGAAAACCTGTGGCTTTGTGCCTGCTAGGCAAGCACTCTGCCAATGAGCCACACCCTCAGCTCCTCAGTTTCCCTGCCTGGCCCTGCATCTTAGAGACTGGGTATCCATATAGAGCCTACAGTCCCCATCTCTGTGTATCTGTCAGTCATCCTCTGTTCTAGAGGCTCCATCTCTGTCCCAGTGTTCTCATCCCTCTCTGTCATTCAGATTCTCCTCTTGCCTCCATCTTTCCAGGCCACTGCCTTGCCTCCCCATCTCTCAGGGCTAGTCCTGCTCCATGCAGACCCCCACCCATAGCCAGGCTCAGTGGAGCTCCTCAGCCTTGTGTGTCTCTCCCAGCCCGTGGAGGTGGAGGGAGGGGACGCCAATGACCTCACCGGCCCCTCTCAGACCACCCCCCCCTTCACTTTTCAACTTTTCCAATTTTTCCTTCCGTGCCCTCCTCCGAGCAAGGCGGTGTGAGCCCTGCTAGGCAGCCGGCTCGTCTGAATGGAAAAGGCAGGAGGGAGGGTGAGTCAGGATGTGTCAGGCCGCCCTCCCCTGCTGCCTGCCCCCCGCCCGCCCGCCCCGGCCCCCTATATAACCCCCCAGGCGTACACACTCCCTCACTGCCTGGCCCTTGCTGCTCACACTCACATACCTCCCCTCCCCAGGCCGAGGCCCAGCTGACCTCCTGGGCTCCCCCGGCAGCGGACAGGGAAGGGTTAAAGGCCCCCCCGACTCCCTGCCCCCTGCCCTGGGGAACCCCTGGCCTGTGGGGACATGAACTGTAAGTTGGTTCCAGTTCATGGGGTGAGGGGACAGGGAGGGGGGAAAGGATTGAGGGGGTTGGGAGGGTGGAAAGCAGAGCAGGGACAC